CCCTCCCCCGTGCCCTTACAGTTTGTAGACTGAAGGGCACATGTGCATAGGTGTATCACCTTTAATGGCTCGTGTGTTTTGATCAATATCAGGAGATGGTGAGTTTGTGACAATACCACTCTTCCACAGGAAGCATATGCATATGGTTCTTTGTAGCCCAGAAAATTTATAGCGTTTTTACTGTCAAAAAAACAAGAACAAAAAACATAAAAAAAACCTTGCAGACCTTGTTTCACTGGAGAGTTTTGATGTTTTACATTTATCATTATAAAAGCAAGGACAATTTTATAGCTTTTATGTATGTGTTACATGAAGAACAACTTGTCTTTGAGTAGGGGCAAATCACTCTTAAAAAATACTACACAGCTTTTCCTTCATGTGAAAATGCCACATACATAAGCTTGATTGAAACAAGAAGAGTGAGGTGAAAACAGAACAAAACTCTCAGGTGGTAGTTTTGATAACCATTAACAATTAAAACCAATTAAAGGGCCAGTCCTAGGTGAGATCCATTAAAGAGAATAAAAGGGCACATGCAGCCACACTTTGCCCACACCCTACTTTTCCTCAAACTGCAAGAGCCAAGGTTGTGCTTGGGTCCTAAATTTTGTCAGTGTGGTTCAAATCCTGATTCTGACATTGGCCAGCCTGAAATGTCTTCTGCACTGTGTCTCAGTTTACCCTCTACAAAGCGAAGGTGCTGGTACTTACTTCCTACATGGTTGTGAGAACAAATGAGATAGCAGTCCCCAGTGGACAGTGAGAATCCAGTAGACCTGTATTCTAATGTTCTCCTATGCTCCAAGTCTGAGCCATCTGAGAGCCATTTATACTTGCCAGTCAAGTATGTGGATTTCCTCCCAGATATCAGAAGAATTTCCAACATACAAAAAAGCTGAAACTGTACATTTTGCTAGGCATGTTTTATTGTATACTTCTGTCTTAGTCACCATCAATTCCTTATATTTTTAATTTTTTGTTTAAAATAGAGAATGATTCACAAATTGGCAAACCATCCTGTGTTCATACACACATGTTGCTGGAGTGACCTTCATCCTTTATCTTTTTTAATGTTTTAAGTTACAGATATATATATTTTTCATATTTATATCCTTATCTAGATCTTTTCCTCACTTCTTTGTTTTAGCAAAAAGCCTGAGAAGTGATATTATCTGGATTTCTTTGAAAGTAAAACTTACATTCAAGGAACTATAATTTCAATTTCAATCATACCATGGATACATACATCTTGAATCCTTAGGTAAGTACGGTGGCCTCTGTCACCATAGAGACAGCTTTGCTATCAGCTTGGCTCTCCCAGAGAACAGGTACTGGGTGGCAGTGGCCTGGAAGCACAGGGAGGCCTAGAGGCTGAAGCAACTCCCATGCCACTCTAATGCTGTTTGGTTTTCTGAAAGCTTTTTCTAGCTTCTCCAACAAACATCTGTGTGAGGGCTTCTTCAATATACTTCAATATACTACAACTTCAATATACTGCATTCCCCATTTAGAAGTTCTTTCTGAAGTTTGTTCTCCCTATTATTCCTAAGCTTTTCTCACTGGCGACAGCTCCAAGGTCTTCATATCCAGGGAAAGCCTTCACTCTTCATTTTCTCTACATTTCTCTAGATTGTCTCCTCCTTCCTTATCTCCTGCCTTCAATTGATCACTGACAGGTCACACCCTTTGTGACTCCTTAATGATGTTTCCTGTGGCAATGATCAGAGAAGTCATCGAGGTCAGCCTGAAAGGTTTTGCTTTTCTGAAGATATGCTGACTGTCTTTTGTGAAGAAGGGCAACATTCCAGGAGCCAGAGGGAAAAAGCAATAGAGTCCAAGCAGCTTTATCATTCAAACACGGAACCTGAATTGTATTTCATAGGAAGTGTGTGCTATACTCAGTGGATGGTCTGTGCTGGAAACAGTTATAGAATATAGTATCTGACACAAGAGCTTCGACTGCATGCAGTCATAAATAATGCAGCGTTCTCCTAGCTAATTCTTCTTGTTGAGGAAGGCTACCTGCCTAATTGTGACTGCATACTTCAGACTATTAGCACAGGAAGTTTCGAGAATAAAACCTTGCTCTCCAAGAACTTCTCTGAAGTATCAAGCCAGGCACAGAATCTGTCCAGAAGCCCAGAGCCAGAGAGCCCTATTTCAATTTGGGACACATTCAGAGCTCCCCTCTTTCATGACATGTCCACTGTTTTCTACAGAGCCACTTCCAAGATAGCCCAGTTCTATCTTGGACTTATTCTGTCTCTCTCCTCCATTGATCCAAAGGAAACCCAAATTGAATGTCTCTAAGTAAACTTTGATACCATAAGTGCCTACATTTGTGGCAGGCAAAGACCCTGCCAGCTCAGCTGGTTTACATTTTTTTTTTCAGGTTGTGTTTATAGAAAGGAAAATGTCTGATCTAATTTTCACCAAGGCTGCTTTTTTTCTGCTTCCCTTGAGACCAAGAGTTAGACAGAAGCCAAATAATCAGCCTGCCAAACTCACTGGGTCCTCACCCTGTGTGCTTTGCTTCCAAATCTCAGAGGTGGAAAAACCCAAACGTATATTCATGTGCAGTTTTCATGAAGGGTAAAGAGCTGCTGACACCATCCAGATGGGGACTGGGAGGCACTGGCTCTATCCAGGAGCAGGGAGTGAACAGGCAGCAAGAATAGAGGCCTCTGACTGTATCAAGTCACAGTGGATGACTGGAAGCTCAGGAAATACGAAATATGTTGTGTTGATTTTTATCACAGAAGTCATGAGACAAAGGCATGTCTCCAGTATACTGTGACATTGGGAGGGACTCTGCTATCATTTGAAAGTGCAGTCCAGAGGTTTGGGGCTTTCAGGAAGTTTGGACTCCAGTGTAGCAATGTTGAAGTGATAGAGCCTTTAAAAAGTAGAGCCTGGTGGAAGGCAGTTAGGTCATTGGGAGTACTACTCCTTGGAAAGGACTAGTTTTGGCAGGTTGTTGGTTAGTTCCAGGGACAGGGTGATGTAAAAAGAACAAGGGCGGTTCCCCTTCATTTGGCTTTTCAACCTCTCTGTAACCTCTCCCTTTGGCAAGTAGACTCACAGTGATACTGGATTCCATATCGTAATCCAGCTATGTAGCTCTTATCTCAGGCCATAAGGATTCCTAATGTCAGACTTTTCCCTTAAAAAAAAAAGAACATTGTGTGTGTGTGTGTGCGTGTGCATGCATGAATGGCTCCTAGATTGTGAGCTAAGCAATTATTTTTCTTTGCAAAGCACCTGGTCTAATGTATTTTGTTATAGCAACAGAAAATGGTCTTCTTTGTGAAGATATCTTCTGGAAAGAAAGGATCAAATTAGAATCTCAACATTATTGTAGAAAAGTGTTTTGTTTACTTCCTGCCAAGGCCAATCTACTGACCACTCTGAGGTCAACACATGAGTCTGGGATTGTTACACTTACTGGATGTTCTCTAGGAAAGCTGACCTAGCCTGATGTAAGTGCTGAGAAGTGGTTCCAGAAGCAGCCAAGAGCAAGAAGGCAAGAGACTGTAACTGGGTTCACAAGGGGTCAAGCCAGGGGAAGCCCAGTCCTGTGTCCACTACTCCTATCATGGAGTCTATGGGAAACAAAATGAAATCGACTGGACTGAATGCTGAAATGAGTAGAAAGTGAAAGAAAGTATAGGGTAGAGTTCAGGACAGTTTCCTGGATTCAGTGTCCTGTGTAGTCGGGACAGTTTCTGTCATTCTCTTTTCGGCAGAGCCTGGATGTCAGCTGGGTCCTGGATTTCGGCTTTCGGATGAAGAATAGAGAACGGGGTTCCGTTTCTCTCAGGGGCAGCTAGAGCACTTTAGGGCGAGGACCTAGTGCGCTAAGCTGGGCTGTAGAAAAGTTTTTCCCCAGTGTTACAGTTTAGCTCTTTTAGCATGAGATCACCAGTGGCAATGGAAGCTCAGGATTTCTAAAGCCTATGGTGATACACCAAAGTGTTACAGCTCTTGGTCAAGCTGCTGTGCTGAGCATTGCAGGGGTGCGAGACAAACCCATGCCTGGTTGGCTTGCAGCCAAGACACAAGCCTGGTGAAGCCCAGGCCCAGTAGGCCAGAGGGCAGGCCTGGTGAAAGGAGACCCTATGGAGGATAAATGATGAATCTCAGATGGTCTTGAAGAGAGAAAGCAAGAACCTTTATTCATGTCAAATCAAGAGTAATATAAACCCTGGGAGGGATTTTAACGGTGGATATGCTTGATTCACTGGAGTCAGGGAGTAAGGAATGCTTAATGGTCCTATCACGAGAGGAAAATACCGTACTTAATTAATCTACAGAGGCCTGAGGGGGGTAGGGGGCGGATCTCCAAGTACAATTGAAGGTTACTGCTGGACTAAGAATCTTAGCAGGGTGGGGCATTTCTATATTGCTAGATGCTTGCTAGCACAGTTTCCTTATCAGGGAAGGGTCTGGTCTATAATCTGCTCTGGTGGCTATGTGACTCTCTGTGCACTCTCTTTGAAGTCACCCAGATCAGAGGAGACGTTTCGGAACCCTGCTGAGAAAAAGCAGTCTATGATCATAGCCCGAGCAAGAATGATTGGCTATCCAGAGATGACTGACTTCAGCCTTGTCCAGCAGAGCGCGGCAAGTTTCTCTGAGCATAAACAGTGTCCTGGCTTGCAGTTTATGGATTGCTTGGTACCTGATGTCTCTGATTTAATATTCAGAGCATTCAGAGACATGGCTGCCCCATCTGCCTCAGCAACTCCTGGGCTCAGGAAGAGCCAACATTAAAAAAAAGATTTAAATTTTAAAATTTGTTTTTATGTGTGTGGGTATTCTGCTTGCATGTATGCCTATGTACCACATGTGTAAGAAGCAAGAAGAGGGTGTTGGCTCCCCTGGGACTGGAATTACTGATGGTTGTGAGTTGCTATGTAAGTGCTAGGAACTAAATCTTAGTCCTCTGGAAGATCAACCAATGTTCTTAATCATTGATCAGTCTCTATTTCCTTATTTATTAAAATATGGAATGCTTCAAAAAATGTGCATGTCATCCTTGAACAAGGGCCATGCGAATCTTTGCATCATTCCAATTTTTGTATATGTACTGTTGAGTTGAGAACACTTATTTTTCATCAGGTGTAACTGTGTATAAGTACATGTGAGTGTGGTAGCCATGGAGGCTAGAAGAGTGTATTGGATCCTTTGGAGCTTGAGTTATAGGTGTTTGTGAGCTGCCCAGTATGGACACTGGGAACTGAGTCAGGTCCTCTGAAAGAGCAGTATGCACTCTTAACTGCTGAGCCATCTCTTCAGCCCCAAGATCTAGTTCTTGAATGGAAGTCACATTTTATTTTGTTGTTGTTGTTTGAGACAGGGTTTCAACAGCCTTGGCTGTCCTGGAACTCTCTTTGTAGCCCAGGCTGGCCTCGAACTCACAAAGATCCTCCTGCCTCTGCCTCCTGAGTGCTGGGATTAAAGGTATGCATCACCACGCCTAGCTTGAATGGAAGTCAAACCTCTGTTTTGGTGTTTTAAAACCTATGACTCCTAACTAACATTTTGTTGATTCACATAGTAAAAACTCCCCTTTTCTTCTGGATTGGCAATTGTAAAGATGCATATCATGAAATTGACCCCTAGATCCATGCTCAAAATTGGTGTATTTGATCATCTCAGTTAGAAGTGCATTATTTTTACAGAGCCCCTCATGAAAATCTGGATAGATTATGGCTGTAAAATAATACTCCTCCTTTTTCTTTTCTTTTTTGAGGCATGATGTCATGATGTAGTTTATGTTAGCATTGAGCTCATGATTCCCCTGCCTCAGCACCTTGGAGGATTATAAGAATAGCTATCACACCCAGGCATAACAAATTTAAATAAACACATTTAGAATATATAACCCAAATAAATGTTGGTCTGGAGAGCATCTCTTATTCAAATTAAGTCACTTTTGCTCACAGCATTTTTAAATTCCTTCCAGGATAGTCTTTAAGATGACTTGAATAAGAGCCGAAAAATGTTGCCTGGCTTGATAGTCATAGTTTGCTTCCTTGATCCAGTGAAATTTTCTGCCTCTGTCTTTATGTAACATTTAACCCCAACCAGTCTCTCTTTGACAGACACCCAAGAGACCCCTTGGTCTGTCATTTTACAGTATTAATGGTACTACCTTTTCCCCCTTGAAGGTCCAGAAAACCACCACCACCACCACCACCAAGCAACCATCAGATCACATGCAGCTAGGGCCCAGACAGAACAATGGCACTTGGCTCCCATCCCAATTCCTTTGGGAGCTGAGTGAACATCTGAACATGAGAAATGTGAGCAGATACAAAGTCAAGACTCTTCAACATGAGTCATGGCAAGCTGATCCCCATTAAGTTAGGAAATTGTCCCTGGATCTGTCTGAGAGTTGGCACCATGTATCTATAATATAGACCTCGACTTGCTCAACATCATTTTTGGCACCAGATCTGTGAATGATTGATAACTGAACATTGGCCAGCCAAATTGAAGCTGGCTGTTGATTACAGGCAGAGTTTGAATCACAAGACAGAAAAGAACTAATTAATGTTTGACTTCCCACAAGGCAGTAACTCTGTCTTTGTTTCCTCTTGCCATAAGAAAATTTTGGAGCTTGAGTTATAAAGAACAGAAGAACATGTTTTTAAAGGGTGGAAGTCCAAGATCAGGTCAGTGTCTGGTGAAGGCTGGTTCCTGCCTCTAAGGAGAGACTGTCTCCTTAGGAGGGGGACAAATATCTTCATATAGCAGAAGTACAGAAGGGCAAGCAGTCGTAGCTGCTTCTCTCAGCTCTTTTACAGGGCACTACTGTGACACACAAGGCCAACCCTGAAAGCACACAGCCTCCTAAAGTCCTGGCTCTCAATACACTGCACATTTTGGGAGGACATAAGTATTCCAGCCATGTAGAGTATATGAAAAACTAATAGCTGGGGAACAGTACCACCCCACTTCCCAACTCCTCCTTATCCTGCCATCAGGCTCCATCTAGCCTCCCAATTTCAGGGACCCTTGAGATCTAGGTGCCAATCCTCATCTCCCCCAAGACATGGCATTCACTCTTGCACCACCACTATCTAGGCCTAAATGCTTGAACCACTCTGGCCTACAAAGTGTGATGCCAGTTAGACATGCCTTCCTGTAAGAATCCCCAAGTGTGGAGCTTTCAGGCCCTACTCTTTGCTTGCTTTGTAGGACACCTCTCATGAAGGAGTGAAAACCTGACCTTGTTCCCTGTATAAGTTTCCATCACAGAGCTTGCTGTCATGCAGCCCTCCTGCTTTCGCACCCCCCAGCCAGCAGGTGGGCTTCCTTCAGAATGCTCCTCATGCATACACTTTGAAGCTGCAGCAGACCCCTGAGACAACAGGATGAGTTCCAGTCTACATCCTATTGGTTATTATATACCATCTAACACTTTTCTTCTCCTTCCTTGGAGAAGGTATCAGACCTTCAATCTGATACCTCCTCACCCTCTCATCCATGCCCATCTGAAATGCTGGTGAATCACAGGGAAAGTTTATCTGCAAACAGAGCTAGGAACATAAAAATAATTTTTATCTACTTAACAAAGTGCATGTGGGATGCATAATAATGTAGTCATTAAGAGTCCATTTTTTTGGGCGTTTGCTGTTTGATGCTATTATATGATGCACAGTATGGCTTCCTTCATTTTACAGTCAAAGACAGGAAGATGAAGAGAAATATTTTTGGAAAAAATCCAAGCATTTCATCAGTTTTCTGAGGGCCTTTCTCTGTCTTTGATATTCAAATTGCCTTCTTTGAAAAACCACTTTTTGTCCTGTCAGTTCTCTCTTAGCTAGTGACTGCTACAGTTTCTGCCAGATTCTTCTTAATGAATGGATTAAGGAGAGAGAGAGAGAGAGAGAGAGAGAGAGAGAGAGAGAGAGAGAGAGAACAGCTCTCCAACTTCACTGCCTACCGCATCCCAGCACCTGTGTTTCATATTAGCTTTCTGTATATTTACAGCACTGGAAAATCAGCAGGACCAGAGGGAAGATGAGGCGGCCCCTAAGAGGGCACTGGGGCAGAGGGGAGTAAGTTCATCATCAGCGTTGCTATGACAACTTCTGAGTTCCCAGGCACTGACTTTGGAGCTTACAACTCTGCTGAACTCTGGAACAAGCAGGTGCCTCTGCAATTCTAGAGAGGGGAGTTATGCCTTCCTCGTGTTCCAGCCCAGATGGAGATAAGGACTGATTGGAGCAGCAGGGACTTCATGGGAGCTCAGCAGAGGGGAGCCAGAAAAGGGGAGCCTGATGGGGTACTTATCAAGACTAGTTGACCTGTGACCATCTGAGTGAGGCCCTATCCTGAGATAACAGCTATTCAGCCCCAAGGCTCCAAACAACAAGTACACAGCAAGATGAGCAAGAGGGAAATACAATAAATCGATTTAAATGTAGTTTTATGGGACAGTGATGCCAAGGCTCATAGGATAGCTGTTCATTTTTATGGTTAGACTTGATGAAGGCTAGGCAGGTGTGTTGAAGTTTGATTGGACAAAAGGATTCAGATTATTTGTGAAGAGCTGCAAGGCAGAAACACAGCAGAGAAAAAGAGGAACTAGGGAGGTCCTGCTTTAGAAGCCCTTCACTTCAGTTCAAAGCAATCAGCACGCCAAGACAGAATACTTTGGGGTAGCATTTTTTTAGCTCCAGGGCAGGCTATTTGGAGCACTGGGGTACCGCCCCCAGCTTCAAGTCCCGTTTTGCAGGAGTGTTCCTCCCCAGCCTTAGTTATGGAGGCGACCACTTTCGGACCCTCGCTGTTGTGCATCTAGCTCTTTAACATTGGCTTGGCTGATTCTGTGTTCTGTAAGCAGCACATCCAGCTTCTCTAACTGCTATGACTGAAGGTCATTTTCTCAGCAACACAAGGAAAAGATGGAAGCAGAGACTTTTCTTTTTTATAAGTGTGTCCTGAACTGGGGGGAGAGGCACTAAGATAGACTGGGGAACATGATTTGATGGGAACAGGGCACAGACTCCAGTCCCCAAGTTAGTCCTAGAGATTTCTACCTTCTGATGTTCACATCTTTTTTTAATTTAAAAATTTTAATCTTTTATTTTTATTAATTACAATTTATTCACTTTGTATCCCCCTGTAGCTCCCACCCTCCCCTCCCAATTCCCCCCATCACCCTTTTCCATCCATGTCCCTCACCAATTCCACTGATGGGGGAGATCCTCCTCCCCTTTCTTCTTATCCTAGTCTATTATGTCTCATCAGGAGTGGCTGTGCTGTCTTCCTCTGTGGTCTGGTAAGGCTGCTCCCCTCGAAGGGAGAGGTGATCAAAGAAAAGGCCAATCAGTTCATGTCAGAGACAGTCCCTGTTCCCATTACTATGGCACCCACTTGGACACTGAGCTGCCATGGGCTACATTTGTGCAGGGGTTCTAGGTTATCTCCATGAATGATCCTTGGTTGGAGTATCAGTCTCAGAAAAAAAACCCTGGGCCCAGATTTTTTGGTTGTGTTGCTCTCCTTGTGGAGCTCCTGTCCTCTCCAGGTCTTACTTCTTTCATAAAATTCCCTGTACTCTGCCCAAAGTTTGGCTATGAGTCTCACCATCTGCTCTGATACTCTGCTAGGTAGAGCCTTTCAGAGGCCCTCTGTGGCAGGCTCCTGTCCTGTTCCCTGTTTTCTCCCTCTTCTGATGTCCATCCTCTTTGCCTTTTGGATGGGGATTGGGCATCTTAGCCAGTCTTCCTTCTTGATTAGTTTCTTTAGCTGTAGAGATTTTAGTAGGTTTATCTTATATTGTGTATCAAATATTCACTTATGAGTGAGCATGTACCGTGTGTGTTTTTCTGCTTCTGGGATACCTCACTCAGGATGATCCCACCATTTACCTGCAAATTTCATGATTTCCTTGATTTTTATTGCTGAGTAGTATTCCACTGTGTAAATGTACCACAGTTTCTGTATCCACTCCTCACCTGAGGGGCATCTGGTCTGTTTCCAGCTTCTGGCTATTACAAATAAAGCTGCTACAAACATGGTTGAGCAGATGTCCTTGTTGTATACTTGAGCATTTTGGATATATGCCTAGGAGTGGTATAGCTGGATC